GACCCATTTCATGAATCCGTTCTGAATTAATTTAAGAAAAACTCGAAGACAAATTTTCATAGTGGTTTGTGGTGGATGCGTAGCCCGTAGCCCACCACAAATCATCATTGGCGGCGCCCCACAGCGGTATGACCCAACCCATATTCATCTTCTAGGTTCAGACCAAATACAAAGAGTTATGTATTTCGGGGGTTTTCTTTCTTATACACAAAGTCTGGGTCTTGAGAGAGACGAGTGACACATTAGGTGTATTTTGGGGCTTAGGGTTTTTCTGTAAGGGTACAACTCTGTATTTCTTCTCCGTTACCAAATTCATGATAGATTTTTATTCTTCTTTCGCCCATAGACGTAGACGTAAATATGTTTTCTTGAATTTTTCATCAACACATTCGAAACAAATGCAACTGAAATCACAAAACCTCATTCTCTCTACCCAACCTCTTACAAGGATTAAAAATACAAAAAGCTAAAGCCAAACCAAAAACCAACAAAAGAGATAACCTACATGAAGAGTCAGAATTCCCAATAATTAATCTTCTTTGAGGAGCAACACCACCTCTCTAGGAACCTCATAAATGGAATTGTAAACATAAAAGCTTTCTTCATCAATACCCTTATTCGCCATAAAATCAGCAAATCTATTTCTTTCTTTAAAGTGTGAGAAAATGAATGATGCAATGCGGCGCTTGTTTCTTGATTTTCCGGACAAAAGTCAAGTGCCAAGGATATGGGATTTTCTCAAGAAAAATATTAATCAGACATTAATTGTCACTTTCAATTTTCACCTCCATGATGTATTATTAGAGTAAGAAAAAGAGAAAACAAATGGAATAAAGGGACAACTTAAATGGATGGAATTCAATTTAGGGTCAAATACCAAATAAAATGAGAAATCAGTGTTCTTTCATTGATGGAAGCAACAGGACCCAAGGACCATATATGTTAGGTATATATGTAAGGGAATTACCAAAAGGACTAGAAAGCTAGAAAATTTAAGACAAGGATTGACAAGAGGCATGATATCCACCATCCCTTGAAAAAGCACAATCAACTTGAAAAAATGCATCAAGTTGAACAAATTAAAATTGATGCCATATCAAATCTTAGAATTATGGAATAATGACTTCAACTTGTGAATGAACTATGAGGGGATTATACATATAAAAAATAGAACACTTACCAAATATAAAGATAACATCATTAATGATTTAATCCTAATCTTTTTCAAGAGTGACTATTACACTAGTTTCCTTATAGGATAGATGAATAATTTGATGAAAAATGCTCCAGTAATTGAATAGAACATGAGGACAAACCCTACTATATCTAGGGATATGAACAAACGGATTTAAATCCACAGCATAAATGTGGTCCACATTAACATTTTTCTTTTGTTGGTAAAATCCATTCAGTTGATAGAGGACTAACCCTTGAAAGAGGTGGGGTAGTCAGTACGAGTGAGTAAATGGATTGGTTTTACCCAGAATTGAATGGAACCAAAATCGACCTCAAACCGACCCTACCCAATTTGTTAATTGGTAGGGTCCTGTTCCATGAGTTTTGTTTGACCTTGGGAGAATTGGCCTTGGTGGAATTATCCTTGGAGTCGAATTTGCCCTAAAATAAACACCAAAATACTTTGAAGTGTGAACATTTGAACCCAAGCACTTGTATTTATAAAGATTATAGTCTCACTTAACTACCAAGCCATTTAAAAAATGATAATTTTCTTCAATTTAATATTTGAATATATATAATAAGTAATATAAAAGGTAATATTTATAAAACTTAAATTATAATGATAAGTTCTGAACTATATTGTCATTGTCATCATTATTATTGAAAATCAAGTTTTAAGCATTTTATGATTGTAATTGATATCTATGTATGTATGTATATAATTACAATTTTTGTTTATGTAATTATGCCACATTTATAATTTAGAATGTTGAAAAAAAGCATAACTTAACATACAGTACTGTATATATTAAGTTCAACAACATATATAGTTAACTAATTAGATTCTTAACATTATGGAATGTTTTACTTTTTTTAAAGAATAAGTTCCATTTTATGATGTAATCGTTTTTGGTAATGTACCACTTTTTTGTGATGTATAAATTTTTTTTGCTATGTACCTCATTATTTGACCCGGCGATGACGTGCCTTGGTGATGAGCAACTTGGTGGCGAACTCCCTGGTGGGGAACTGCCTGGTGGCAAGCTCCATGGTGGAGAGCTACTTGGTGACGAACTGCTTGGTGGCGAACTCCCTGGTGGAGAATTGCCTGGCGGCGAGCTCCCTGGTGGCGAACTGCTTGGTGGTGAGCTCCCTGGTGGCGAACTGCCTGGTGGACTCGTCATTTGACATGCTCCTAGGCGGCCTACAACTCAGAGGATGGTGGAGCTCCCTGGTGCAGCGCAACCCGACTACCCTCTGCATGACGTGATTTCTTCTCCTTTGTAGGCGGTGGGAGTTGAGGGACCTGCGAGAACTGAATCAGAGGACCTGGGGGTATTTTCCCGGCGGGGACTTTCCGATGCCTAAGTTAGCATTCTGATTACAGAGAGCTTGGAGAGAAATGAGAGAGCTAGAGAGCAGGGATTACCATCCCTTTTTTTTCCCTCTCCTTGGCTTTGGGGGTCGGATTCCTTATATAGTGGTGTCCTCGCGGGTTAGGTGGGTGAAAAGCTTTCAAACGGTAAGACTCGTCATATCCCGTCAGAACCGGGGTACGGTGGTGAACTCCTCGAGGTTGTCAGGCTGGCGCTTGTGTCAGGCGGCCAGGTTGTCAGGTCGACGCCTGTGTCATTCGGCGGGTCGGTGTCTAGGCCAGGTTGTCAGGTTGGCGGATCGGTGTCTGGGCCAGGTT